TTTATTTATATATATATATATATATACTAAATGATGTAATAGATCCAACGACGTTTATTTCATGAGATGTAAATACATCGTTATTAAAAGTTCCGGACGTTTCGGCTATATATTTTAGCCATCTTCAGCAGATCTTAACAGAAATTTTCCTCTTGTATCCAACTATAAGCACAATTTTCAGCCAAAAAAGTTTCCAAGCTTGTTGGTAACGAAATTCTGTTAAGATCTGCTGAAGATGGCTAAAATATATAGCCGAAACGTCCAGAACTTTTAATAACGATATGTATTTACCTCATGAAATAAACGTCGTTGGATTTATTACATCATTTAGTATAAATAAATAATTTTTTATTTATATTAACGTTGTGCACCACTTACCGCGCTGACTCCTATATAGCCGATTTTTTAATTTGTTTATGTTATATTTAATACTATATTATTATATTGTTATCTAACTTGCAGATCATTTTTTTCTTATTTTTAAAAGATGTATCAACTAAAAGGAATCTCTCTCTCTCTCTCTCTCTCGCGCCTATTCCTCTTCGAGAAAGTAATCTTTTAAACATTCTTTAAATGTCTCATATTTCTCACGGATTTTTGTGTTCAAACGATTGTTTTTGTGTGTACCACAACGTGTACTTTGCGAGAAAATGCAATATAGCGCGACTTGAGAAATAAGTCTGCTTCCCCACGTGCGGCTTACGGTGTTCGATTTGGATGTGTTATTTTGTGTAACCACTTGAGTGCGGCCAATCACGCATGAAAGTAACAATGAATAACATCGAAATAGGCGGATAGATAGCCAGACCGGTCATTTTGTCCGATGCGTTTGACCGTCTGTGTATACATGTGTGCGTGCGTGTGTTTCTCCGTGTGTACATACACACGTGTGCGGTTTACCAGAGTCCACGCCTTAGGCATCCTCTTCCGCATTTCATGTCGTCGGAAGAGGAAAAATTCCTTGGAACGTTCTGTAGATTATATACACGGGGTAAAGAACGTTTTGTTCCAAAGTATTGGATTTAAAATTTTCTTTACAGAACTACAATTGATAAATTAATAATATAATTTTATTAATATTTAAAAGAGAAGTAAATTGATGAGATTTAATTGCTTTGAAATTTAATTGATTAAAAGTATGAGAAGTGCGCTAACAAATTCGAATTTATAAAATGCAATTAAAAATATGTTTTACTGGACAATTTCATTGAAAAAAAAAGAATGTTATACTTCCTTTACGTATGCTTTTTTTGCTCACATATGTACATACAGTATTCTCTTATTTAAATAATTAATATATTGAATAAAATATTTAGCGTACAATTTCATTGTCATAACGTTGACTTTGAATGATATATTATAATACTATTCTATTGTATTTGCAATCAAAATGTTTAAAAAGAAAAAATTTACACTTGATATGAAGAACGAAGTTTTACTTTATAAATGGAGTAATTGTATTTATTATTTCTTATTTTTAAAGCAAATTTTAATCAATTTGTATTTTAATAATTAACTACAACGATATTTATTCTTAAAAATTTACAATTAAATCTTTCGCATTTTCTTCTAAATCGTTTCAATTATTTTTGTTTAAGAATGCGAAACATGATGAATAGAATTGTTATCATAAATTGTCCACCGTGAAAAATTCGCATTACGCGTTTTCCACAACAACGTGTATATAACGATGTCAGCGCGTCGGGCAATGCCGATCAGTCCGTATTATAGCAATTCAATAATAAATTGTAGAACGGCTCGGTCGCCGCATTATGCGCCGGTAATCACAGTAATAAGCAGTTCTAAAAGTAACGTAAGTACGTTGTAGGTAGTAACGAGTGGAGCCGTAATCTCGGGGGATGCCTCGCTCTGCGCTCGTAGTCAGACGAAGGAGGAGAGAAATTGAGACGGAGGGCTGAAAGTTAGAGGGCGAGAGGGGAAATATGAAGGAGGTAAGAAAGAGAGAGAGAGAGGGAGAGTCCATGGGCGTCATCCTCGCCCATGTTCTTGAATTGGCATAATTTACCGCTTCGTCCATGCAAATTAAGCGCGTTTATGCAAGAGGAACGACATAAACCACGATCGACATGACACGTCGATCATTAGAGATCGGACTCATAACTCTGCTAGTGTTTTTTCTTCCGGCAAAGGAAGTGTTTTGCCCTTGTTAACCATTGATGACGACAATTTTTTATCGTCTTCAGATGATTTCATTTATCTTTTGTATACAATATGGAATGTTCAAAAACGATTGTGTAGTAAGGAAGGAATTGCTGAGCACATAAATGTTTTATATACTTGTGAACTTGCCTATGTTTAGAAATAACTTTGTGCAGTATACATTATAAATATACACGTGATGCACCTGTGATTTACACAGAAAGAAAATCGTATTATACTTATCTGAAAAAAATTTCGCTGGACTTGAAAATAATTTTGTTGGATCATTAAAATAATTTTGTACAAAATTCATATTAGTTGTTGGAATATCAAAAGTTATTTTTCGGCATTGCTCATCATTTTTTAGTTTGCGATGTAATTATTTTGACGGTTCAACAGAATTTTAATTTTTTATATCCAACAAAATTTTAGATCTTTTAACACAAAATGTCGAAATCATATTCTTCAATGTACGCATTTTTGAAATTTCTTTTTACATGCATATTAAAGCGTATAACGGTTATAAGCTAACAAAGTAATAATCACATAATTGCCCTGTATCTTAATCGTCGCTCAGAATTTAACATTATTGTGAATCAGTTCTCGCACGGTCGCGACTTTCAGTGCAGAAATTCTTATCTTGGATTGTTAAAATATCCATGTATATTTTATTTATTTGTAAATATAAATCGGAGAAAGATATACGATCGCATTAGAAGTTGACGAGCCGCGTGTACGTACGCCTATGAGACGGGTATGCGGGGACTACGCTATACGTGCCCGTTAAGCCAACATCTAATTCGATAACTGGCGAAAATAATAACGTAGCGATCTGTTGCGTTCGCGGCGCGCAATCATCCGTTTCGTACCGTGTGTCCGCGAAGAACTATAAGATCGAAGGCGCATCTTTCGAGAGGATATTTTGTTGTTCGTACGATCGTAATAATCGCTACCACCTGCCGTACACAAATACGAAAATACTTCAAATCATCGAGCGATCATCACAATTTCATTGGGAAATACTTGCGGATGTTTGAATTTTCCATACGACGAAACTGACAAGTGTGAATGGAAAAAAAGGATCATAAATGGATCCACAAATGTTAATGAAAAGAATAGTTTTATTAAAGTATCTAAAAATTTAGCTAGATGGAGAAATCTTAAAATAATTTTATTAAATAGATTATCAAAATAATTGTGTAGGATATATCGTTTAAGTTGTTTAGAATGTTGATGCTTTCTGTAACATTGCTCTCCATACACAGATCTCCAAGAGACGTTCTAAAGACATTCAAAGAACTTAGAAAGAATTTGGTTTTATTGAAGTATCTAAAAATTTAGTTAGATATGGATTTCAAAGTGATTTTATTGATACAAAATTCTTTCTGTGTTGGAGTGAGCTCTGTAAACAAATACAAAATTAATATATCTATATCTTATAGGATTGAAAATCAAATGATCGTAGCCGATCGTTTCAGTTGTTTAAACGAATCAGATAATTTTTCGGGCGCGTTTAAAGGATGAACAGTAGCTATTTATAATGAAGCGACTGTCGACTACCTCGGTAGCAAAGATGACACTTATTAAAAGTTTCGGTCTCGAGGTGCACACAGAGGGCATCGATCTTCCTCGTTCTCCTCGTCTTTCTTCTCTCGTACGAGCGCGACATTGCCTTGTTACCCGTCCACGAGAAATACCGAACAGTTTAATAAGCAAGAGCGCTGGTGACGATATACCGCGATACAAGATACCACGAGTACCATCCATCACGCGATGTGAATCGCCATCGTTGCTCTTCTCGTAGTACATATTTCGGCATACCCGAGACACCGTCGACCATCGCATCTATGACCTTTCGTTTCTAAGGACCCACGAATCTCTTTTAACTGCGGTTATTTTTCAAACGTCGTTGCGCCCTGCTTAGGTAAAATTGTCGTG